CTGTAGAATCAGAGCCTTAAAAAAGGCCAACAGCAAATCTCACGGGAACAGCATGGGATATTACCCTTGCGCTAACCTGCTAGCTATAACAGTGCCATAACACAATAAACTATATTCCTGCATCCAGACATGTTAGTTTAATTATGCATGAAAATGGCAAACTCAATTTCTGCAAAAAGCAAAAAAAAAAAAAAAAAAAACTTACATAATAAAAAAATGGAAGACATGTACAACATGAGTCATCATCAGCTAGAGACCAAATACATGTCTTAATTCTCTAAAGCTATGAATAATCTCTTTGTTGAGTCACATATTTATTTCAGGAAAAAAAGAAAAAGAAAAAAAAAATAAGACTGAACCTAGCTATTTTTGCTCCCAAGTAGAATGGTTACTGGGACAAATTTCCAAAGCACCTAGTGTTTTTTTGTATTATTTTTTGAGTGCACAACTTGTGACAACTTATAGAAGCCTCGTTTAAAGAGCAGTTGCTTTCTCAAAAATATTGCGTGCCTCTTTCAAGCAGAATCCAGAAGTGAAGGGACAAAAAAAAAAAAAAAAAGCCAAAAAAGTCAACAAAAAATAACATATTTTTACAGAGTACTTCATTAAAGAGGCAGTTCTCTGCAGGATTGCTTTTCAAACCAATTTTTTATTCTGAAATACTAAACTCAAAAATAACTAAATGAATGCATTAATAATGTGATCTTCTATCTATGCCATATATTTTTATTTCTTTAAGTTATTTTGAGAAATGTCAGAGTCCTCAATATCGATGTAAATTATCGTGCATCAGCAGGCAATTTGGTATAACTTTGTTTTCCAATTAGAACTGGAAGACTCACTTTGAAAACCTGCTGAATGAACTACACAAGCCAGGTAATGTGCTTGAAGGCTGAGGCATCTCTCTGCTATATTTCAAATTCCAGTTTTAAGATTTTCTTCTCAGAAAATAAAATGTCTATATATTGGTCAAAACTCAACATCATATACCAAAATGTCAGCTGTAACAAGTAAGTAAATGCAAAAAAAATATTTTTTAAAGTTAATTCCTCATGGCTTTTCACAAGAAACTATCACATAGTATCCCTATATGCCTAATATAGATCTATGGTGTCTAAGATATTCACAATATACAATGTATTCACAGATACAGTATCTATAGATATGTATGGATCTAAAGATACTGAATCTAAAATAGTAAATATAATATCTATAGTACTTTTATATATAAACTTAAAAGAATTTATATATGTTGGCTGTGATCCTGAGAGGATTTGCGGCTGTGTTATGTTTATAGCTAGCAACCTTCTGATTAGAAACCTCAGCTAAAGTCTTCAGTCTCTGAGTTGAGTTGGGGGACTCAGAAGGTGGATATTAGATGCATACCTATATTTTTGCAGAAGCAAGAGTGTAAATGAAACTTTTAAAATCTATTAGGAAAATATATAATTTATATATATACATATATATATATATACATATGTTTTCTTTGTATAAAAGGCCAAGTGTCAGGTTGGTAAGAATGGAAGGTACAAACACAAAACTTGGGCATGCCAGCTATTTTGAGTGCTACATGGGGCCAAGCCCCATTTCTAGTTGGCGCTGTGGTAGGTGTTCCAGCCTGGATCAGCCTGTTCTCAGGATGCATCACTCCTTGGACCTCTAGAGGGGACCCTGAACATACCAGAGGGGACTGTGTGCACACACTCTGAACGTTTCTGATTAGCATACATTTAGGAAAAAAAAAAAAAAAAATGCGTGTCTCCTTTCTTCCAAGCCAGACACAATGGCTTGGAAATCACTTCTGGTTCCTGAGCGTGGCAATAGAAACAGAATGTGAAACTGGTATTAGGGAAAAAAAAAATTGCTAATTCCCTTTTCCTCTGGAGCTCTTATTCTGTGAGATGAGAAGGATTATGCAGAGCATGGTGGGATGTTGCTGGGTGCTAGACAGTTCCCCGTGGAGGCTATATGTTAAGTATTGCTGGTACAGGGTGTAAAGCAGTGGCATTAAAAACTTCTTTTAGGAAAATGCATTTAAATATCAAAATACAACCACATGTGAAAGCTCCAGGACCAGAACTGAGGGGGACAGTGTTTTATGTCTGTTGTATCAGCATGGGATGTACAAGACTGTATCCAACAATATTTTAATAAAAGAATTGCCACTTAAAAGAATTATTGGAGGCAAGCATTTGACTATGTTTTACTAAATTCACAGATCTGAAAGAAATGTAGTACTATCCAAATAACAGTGAATGTTAAGATAATAACGACATTCTGAGTTTCAATTTTATATTAGATGATATTAAATCAGACAGACCTCTATGATGAATTATATTCTTATAATAAAATTTTATTGCCATTTTCTTCTAATGTTTTATTTTTGTTTGGCATGGCATTTTTCATTAATTATTTAATAAATTGCTAGAAATTAGAGCTATTTTATGGAGGAAAGAAAACTTTTATGTCACTGCTAACTTGGATCTGTTGTGATGGTTTTACAAGAACAAGTAACATATTCTTGAGGAATTACACATATCTCATTCAATGTGTAAAACCTTATGTAAACATTTTTGAAATTATACCAGACAGAATTTGCCATATGAAGACAGTCACATAAAAACTTCCAGTCATAGTCCTGGCCTTCCTGTGATAGGGATCTCTACATTTCAGAATTGGCATCTCAGAAATTCTTGTGATGACTCTTCAGAAGAAAATATAGCATAACTGCTCTGACTGATGTGTGAAGCACCATGACTCAGGAGCTAGACAGGCATTCAAAGTGGTTCTACGAATGCGCCCTATTTTGTTTGTATGCTTTGCACATTTAAAATATATATATACATATTATCCTCTGAGTTCTATACTCTTTGCCAAAGCTGGCAGCTATGAGGTAACCTGTCCCCATGCCCCAATGGATGGATAAAAAACAAACTACTGATTTGGATTTACAAAGCGTTCTTTTATTCATGGTAATAGTTGCACTTAACACAAATGCTGCTTTCAAGGAAGGCAGGCATGACTCAGCTGGTTTAAACAGAACAAGGCATTAAAGTGGGTAGGCATCATGCTTCCTCTACTAGTAGATTCAATTGCAAAGACATGCTTGTGAAGAGAAGAGTCAAATTTATTAACATTCCATTTGTTCATGATGTACAGTAAATTACCCTTAAAAGATGTCCACAGTGCCTGTTAGCAATCTGATGGTTGATGGCAGGTGATTTAGTGAGATGAAAACTCAGTCTTCTGCACCACGGTTGATCAGAAAAGTGCTTCTGTATCCTTACCACAGATATCTACTATTAGAGGAAGATGAAAGTAAGTTTCACCTGGGATTAACATTTCCTTTTATGTTTACATTTTATGTTTTATGTCTATGTATATACTCATGTATGTAACATCCAAATAATAAATGAAAGTATCTGTGAAATAATTTCAGGAAAGGATATTTATGTGTTTTCTTTGGGAACCAAGTGTCCTGTTTTACTAAGAGCTAATGAAAATAATGTATGGGAAATACATCTGGGCGAAACACACTCCTTAACATATTTTTCTGTTGATGACTTTATTTAGTATATGAGGCAGAAAACCTTTTCCCTTTGAAGCTGTTGCCTTGAATGTGTTCAAGGTGAGTGCTACATTAGGAAGGTCCAAAAGAAAGGAACATTTCTCATTTCTCATACAACTCCCATATTGTAAAGTTTATCATGTCCTTCATAGAACGGTCTGCTCTTAGCGGCCTGGGAAAAGTGATCAAAAATGCCATGAGACTTTCCAGCTAAAAACCCTTTGAGATCAAGAACAAGTCCTGTAAACAGCTTATTTGTTTATCTTCCATTAAAGTTACACTTTCTGGCGTCATTGAGTCTGAGTCAATAAACTGTATTTTCTCTACACTAATAATTTCAAATTTTGTAATCACACAAAAGAAAGACACAAAATTATTTCTGTTAGCTACATACATCCACGTAGGCTGCAGACTTCTACGTATTAGGAGAGTATTTAATTAGATGTAATATATGGAACTATTTTATAATAAAAGCTCTAAAGTTCATATAATTAGACTAGGTTAGAAATAAAATATTCTTATTCTGTTATTCTCTCCTTTTCTTATTTGCTTTATTGATTTGTACTGATAGTTCTTTTGATAGCTAACTATATAAAAAGAGGAAGAATTCAGCAAGTAGAGGATTCATTCCTTATATTGCCCAGATTGCATCTGATTTTCTGCACATTAGATTTAAGGGCTTTTCTGTTGCCTGTTATTTTTACACTCATCTTTCTCATCATTCCCTCACCACTGGACCAATTTTGTAAGTCATAAAAAAAATAAGGAACAAATCTTTTAGCTCTGCTCTCATCGCTTGTTTATATAACCAAATCATAACCAGTGACTGTCCTGATCTAAGCAGACATGATAGAGGCTTCCCAAGCAAGATTGAGCGTTCATGTCTTCTGGAGGAATTTCTGTGGTCCTTTCCTTTCCCTTGCAGTACAGGCGCTGCCTTACAGTCACAGACTGGTTACCGCTTTGATTTCTGATACTTGTTAATGCACGAGGCTTTTCAGCTTTCTACTCCCACCCCTCTGTGCTCGAACTCAGGAGAAAGACCATCAAATACACGCATCCCAGGCTTAGTGAAAAATTCTCATTGAAATAAGGAGCTATAGGTGAGGAATTCCCTGCACACTGCTTAGCTGCGATTTCAGGGCATGATTAATTTCTCGATGCAAATCATCAGGCAGACACCCGCAGGAGTTCCTTGCTGGTGGTTAAAGCAGAAGACTGAAACAGAGGAGTGCTCATTCACAGCCGAGATGGTAATTTTACCAGCGAGATACGCCTGCTTTCTTTTTCTTTTTTTTTTTTCTTTTTTTTTTTTAATTATTATTCTCCAACGCTGGAATATTTACACAGTCGAGTTAACCATTTAGATTTACGTGCAGTTTCTCTGTCGTGTTACTTTTAGCTGTTGAGTGTTGGCATCTCGAGGAAAATGTCGCATGCAGCCAAAAAATCGATTCGCAGGGGCAAGAAATGCACGGAAACGCATCGCTTGAGACGCAGCGGCAAAAACTTCGCGGATGGAGCTCCCCTTTGCCCTGTCTCATACTGGTGCTGGTATATACAGCAGCCACACACAGTGAGACGTTTGGGGGGAAAAAAAGAAAAAAAAAAGAAAAAAAAAAGAAAAGAGGGAAAAAATGCAGCCGGGGGGCGCCGGGCGGGCGCGGGGGCCGCTCCGCACAGGGCGCGGGCGATAAACGCTGCAATAAACGCGGACCCGACACCGGGCGCCGAGGTGCCGGGAGGCGGGCACGGGCACAAGGCGCCCCCGGGGCGCGTTACGACCCGAGGTGCCCCCAACAGCGGGTTTCTTCTCTCCTTTTCCTTTCTTTTTTTTTCTTTCTTTTTTTTTTCTTTATTACTATCATTATTGAGGCAAATAAATACCAATTCGCTCTCGGTTCATGGTGATTTGCGGTTTCACCGCAGCGAGTCGTCTGCAAACACTATTGTGTCGGGGGCATGTTCGTGCAGACGCATTTTAGCTGGATGGGTTTAAGTAGAGATAAGGGGGAAGGACGGAGTGAAAAGGCTTTTTTTAAATTTTATATGTAATAACAGAAATC